CATATACAGCCACTGTGACCTAAACTGGAAATACAGCCCAGTCCACTCTACAGTGCTGCTGGCTTCAAAAAGCATTCTAAGGCCTGCAAAATCTGAAGTAATAAAACTGCACTAATAATAAATATTATTCTAGGGCCTTCACATCTTAGTGTTTCCAAGTTCTTTGCAGTCACTAATTAATGAGTCCTACCTTGTCATAAAACTATCTCTTACCAGCTTTGATTTCAGGTGGGGAACTGAGTAGAAAGAATGAATATAAAGTGCAAATTCTTAAAGGTAGATGAAGACACTGTCTCCTCTCCTTTGGGAGTCCAGATTTAGACACCTCTATGAAAAAAAATTGCAAGTATAAGTAAGCAGATTTAGTCTTCTTAATCAATGTTTAAGCCTTTTAAAAGTAGTTTTCAGTACCATTGAGCATCCAGCAGTGCAGCCAGCATGATTGGAAACTGCTGGTATTCAGCATTTCAGAAAGCCAGGAGTGCAGATAGAGCTCTCCTGTCCTTAGGCAAAGGAATATAATTTCCTTATCACACTTTAAACTGTGACTTTCCTCTAAAATTAAAAATAGCTCTCAATCCCTTTGTGGTTTTGTGGTTCTCTGATATTGCAAATCTGCACATAGCTATACAAGCAGCTTTTGAGAAAATCACCCTGTTGTAATACTTTATCATGTGAGGTGCTGTACAAACGAGGGAGAAAGGGTATTGCCCCATCAAATCTAGAGATATGCATAGAAAGAGGATGTAATACAATACCCTCAAAATGTTCAGGATAATTATACAGTTTTAAAGTGCTATTTTCAGCTTCATTTTTGCTTTCAAGTGTGATAAGTTATATGTAATCTTTTCCTGGTTTATATACACATATTTAGTATTTAACATGAACTTCTGTTCTTATTAACTTATAATTTGCACAAACAAGTTGCATGTTGTGGTTTCTTTTTAAATGCTGCCTGTCTGTGAACATCTGTAACAAATGCAGAAGTCCCGAACATTAAAATAGATCACCTCTTCCAAAATAAACTTCCTCCTGCTTCTCAGTATGAGGACAATACCCTTTTTTCATATTTCACAAAGGAGATATCAAGAAATCAGAAAACCTAGCTGAAGCCTACATTTTCAGTCTGTTACATGGTGATTTCTCAGTATCGACAGGCTGACAAGAATTCAGAGGAAGGGGATGCAAATAATTAAATGGCTGAAGGATTAATTTCTGCACCATCATGAAATGAATCACAAAAAATGAAGCTTTAGATGTAACCTGATGATGAGCACTTTATAGAACCCCTGGTTCTGAAGCCTGCAGGTTTTATTCCCTTGATCAGTGGAGAGTGTCACTGATGTATGAGAGTGTGGAGTCTGAGTGAGAACAGAGAACAGCTTTAACTGCAAGGCGATTTGTTCAGTTGAAAAATATAACAAAAAAACAGCAAACACACAGAAAGATTCATTTGTGTGTAACAGCCAAGAGCAGGGTAGTCCCTGAGAGAGAAAAGGAGATGAGGGGAGTAGAGTGCTTCTTTTAATGTAAAAAGGGGTTCTGTCTTTTATTTGTCTACATCTACAGAGATCTTTGAAGTAGATGGGACTAGCTGAGATTATTACTGGATTAAAATCTCCTGCGGTTAAAAGCTGTTTTGTATACTAACTACTGAAAGGAGCAGCAGGAGAGCAATTTTTTAACTGCTGTGGTGATTCTTATTTCTTTTTGGTTAATGTCTGTTGAAGTCAGTCCAAGTCTGTGACTTAACACCTGTGATTTGTAATGGACACCATAGTATTTCTATGACATATCACAACTTCTGAATGTGTTAGGTTACAATTTAAGAGGCATTGGAATCAGAAACTAGATAACAGTAATAAAGATCAGATTAAATACGTGATTACACATTTGAAAATATTTTAAACCTGTCACTCTTAATTTTACAAGTGAAAACAACTTTTCTGCAGTATCATCGCAGAAAGGAAGGACAGAAACAAGGAATAAGGTCTTTTAAATACCTAGAAAATGCATGTGCTGCTGAAAATCCTTTGAAATTAAAGTCACCAATACAATCTTTATTGGTTTTCCACTAAGTTTCAGTTGTTACATCTGTTTTTTGACCAGCACACCAAAATTTTAACCAATCACAAGCATTTTATTTCCTATTCAGCATGATATTAAATACTAAATTAAAGAAATATTTGCTTACTAAGAAGGGTGCTGTCCTTAACAGGAGCTGACCATTGCTGTTATCTCTGGAATAGCTCCACGAGACAGTGGAGTTACTTAGGGGTTCTTCTCTTAGACCACTCTGGCCAAAGAAACACGGCAGAGGCAACACCTCAAGCTCTAGGAAAGAGAGGAGTGCTACCCGTTACGCAGCAGTAATCCCTGAGAGGTGATGAACAGCCCAGTGAGTTAGGAGAGAGCTTAGCTGTGCTGCTGGTCGGGCATTCCCAAGGTGGAAATCTAAAGAAAACAAAAGGAAGATTCTGAAATTCCTACATGGCAGTGATGGACCACTCCACTAAAAGTTGTTTCTGAGGCTTGTTCCTGATAATAGACTGTGTTTAACGGGCATTTGCTACCAGAAATCTCCTTTTAAAATTCTTAGCCACTCAAGCAATATACTTATTACTTTCCCATTAAACATTATGTCCCCAAAATAACAGTATGGATGTATTATGCCCATACACAAGGGGCTATTTGATAAAGGTATTTCTAATGTCAGGTTAAAAAAATGTATTCATGTTGAGAATTACGCTGATGAGTGAACTCTTCTTTGAATCATTTAATGGAGAAATCCCTTACTAATGTCCTGAGGGAACTGCTGACAGTGTGTAATAATTTCTGGTTCAGTGCAGCAGATTACAAGATATCTTGCATTTTCTGAAATTCAGGCAAGTGCTTCTTTTGTACTGTGAGGTCCATCTGTGAGCTTCCTGATACGCTCCCTAAAATTAAAGGGCCTGCAACACACCTTTTTTTTTGAGATGCAATAGATAGCTGTGTAAGATGACTAAGGTACTGTATGACCTTCTGCTTTACTGCTTTCAACTCCCAAAATTTCAGCTTCCCTAATTATGTAGTATTTGTTAATTTCACCTTTGAAATGAAATACAGTTATTTCCAGAATATGTGGTGGAAGTATGAAAACATATGTATACTTCAGATGAACCTATTTCACCTTTAACATTCCTCCCACTGCTATCTACTTTATATAGCTTTTTCTATTGTTTTACTTTTATACTGCTCATTACTGCAGTACCATCTTTACCACACGTAAATACTGGCATTCAGTAAGAATTTCATCCAGCTTGTGAGGAGTTCATAAGACCAGAGAGATTTCCCCATAAGTACAGCCATGTCCCCACAATTCTGGATCCCGTTGAGCAGACCTGCTCTTCCTTGCCCTCTGAGGACTCTTGTCTCTTCGAGCCCATTTAGTAGCAGTTGCTGGAGTAATGAAATCTACATACAGGCAGCAGAGCAAATGCTAAATAAGTGGTTCCAAAGTGGTGAAACTACAAAGAAAATAACTCTGGGTGAGTTTCTGGGGTACAGGAGAAGAACAAAACCCCTGGGAACATCCCCCTAACCTGTCTATAGTATGAGGAATGCATCCAAACTTTTCTCATAGAAATATTGAACCCCAGCATAGGATTTTGGACAATTTGGGAAGGCCTTCAAAAGCATCAAGCAAAGAACATGCATTTTTGTAGGACTACTCTGTATTTCATTGTGATAGAATGCTGACAAACACATTATGTAGCAGATTATCACTTTTGGTTTTAGTTTTCAAAATGAGGAGTTAATAGCCCATGGCTATACAGATTAATAGCTGGTTTTGCCCAGTGATGTTCAGTGTAACACAGGCTGCTTTGTAGTTCCTCAAGTCAGAAGCTGAGGAAATTACAAGTCAATGGAGAGAACTCCTCTGGTCCAGAAAAACCAACATGTTACTTTTGAGGTCTTTAGTTACTGATTACCAACAAAGTCTCATAAAACACAGCTCAAATCTCATGACCTAAGAACTGCACATTCTTCTTATACCATGGTCTCTGCTGGGTAAAATAACTCTTGAAATAGAAGCTTATCTTCCTTGTGCCACCTGGGTCACAAGATCTTGAGAAAGCTACAATGCAAAACTAGATCTTGTTTCAAAGATAAACATTTAGTACAAAATTAAGCGGGAAAAATTTTTAAAAAGTTTCTTTACTCTTAACTTTAGTACAAGTTTTCTCACCTGCCTTGTGACCTTCTCTAATGAGGTGGTTGCAAATTAGGAGTTGGCAGGAAATTGCTTAGCAAGCACTCAGAAATCATGTGATAATATTTGCATGAGTCAAGAACATTTTCAGGCTTTGGTGATACAGTACTCATGCTTATCCACTCATGCAGAGAAAGGCAAGGTCTGAACTCACAGGTACTTGCATTCATGCCCACACATCAGTCGGTCCATACACAGCTGCAGAAGGCAGACATATGTAACTGCTTGCTTATGAATTAATTATTCTTGTGGTGCAGTCATTTACATGTGTTGGCTCGTCACACGTATGCAGGAAAAAATGCAGGTTCAAATCGGAACAGCTGAGAGGAACAAAGGAGGTAAGAATGAAAGCCTTAGGTGCCTGCAGCAAGTATTTGTCTTTGCTCTGAGCTCGGCATGTTCATACCCTTTCTTGCATTGCACCATGTCCTTTACCATTGCTTCTATTATGAAGAGGGATTCTCTGACTTACAGAGACCTTCATGGAGTTAGCCGAGCTACAGATTCATCACTAGAGAGCAATATGCAATAGTTCAGACTCAAGATAGCACTTCTCTGAACTGTCACTTTCCAGATGAGCTGTGGACAGGCTGCACTTCAGTTCAAACAGTTTCAATATAGGGCAAATTCAGCATTAGTCAGAAGTGATTCTAAGCTCATCCTATGTGACATGGAAGCACAAAAAAGTAACAGGATAGAAACTGTCCTGTTTGATGTTCATTTGCCAATTGTTTCCCTTGTTAAGGAGGAGAGCCAGAGATGGATGACTGCCTGGAGACACTGAAAGATGAGGAGGAAGCTTTGTGGGAGAACGTGGAATGCAACCGGCATATGCTGAGCCGCTACATCAATCCAGCCAAACTGACCCCATACTTACGGCAGTGCAAAGTAATCGATGAGCAAGATGAGGATGAGGTGCTTAATTCACTTATGCTGCCCTCCAAAATTAACCGAGCAGGTAATTATTTTGTGGACTGCTATATCTGCATCACTATCTGAACAGTATTATTTTGTGAAGTCTGGAGAGAGCCTGTATCAAATTACAGATTATCAAATGGAAACCCTATATCTAATTTACAGGAGATTTAATGTAAGGGCGGGAATCTGCTGCTGCTATTTTGATAACAATGACTCTTTCCAGTGCTGTGAAGACTGGAGCTCATGGGGTTCATATTCCCATCAAAGCCTTGGCAACTATTTCAGTTAACACAAGCAGCAGCCACTGCCATTCCAAGACTCGGTTTTCAGCTGTCTTGCTGTGCTTCGTGATTTGTCACTGAAGGGTCTGCCATCCTAGCATTTCAGTACTGCCTGGTAAAGGCTACACTGAATAAGGTGCCTTTTGAAATTTCTGTTCCAGAGACTAGTTTGCCTGCACTCCTTCAGAATAATGATCAGCGCAAACATAAAGAATACGTGGCATTACTTTATGAGTTCAGCTGAACTCAATTAATCAGCCAGATCTTCCACAGCACATTGCTGTGGCAGAGACGAACCTTAAGCAGATAGGACTTCAGGGATACAGTACTTGCTTCTGTTGCTCATAGTGCTGATGCTGTTTCTCTCTGTCCTCTGTACTTAGGTCGACTGCTGGACATTCTCCACACCAAAGGCCAAAGGGGCTATGTAGTTTTCTTAGAGAGCCTAGAGTTTTATTACCCTGAACTCTACAAACTGGTAACAGGGAAAGAACCTACACGGAGATTCTCCACTATTGTTGGTGAGTAGAGTCAATCCCAAAGGAACCTGTTGAAATAAGGACTATCTTGAAGACTGGGTTTGATTTTTCAGGCAAGAAATGGAAATAAAAGCTAATTTTGTAGTAGCATTCTGCAGTTTTTCAGTCCCCTTCAATACAAAACTTGCTAGCAAAAGGTAATGTGTAAAGAAAGGAAACATCTCAGTTGTCTGAATGAAGCTGAAGAGCTTCAAATTGAATGATAGTCATTACAGGAAATCTCAAGAGAAGAAACATTGGAACAGTGGACTAAATTACACTGATGACCTACACACGTGCAGCAAATTTGAAGCATTCAGATTAATTGTAATTGTACAGATTCATTTTACAAAGCTTGTGGTATTTCCACAGGCCTGACAGCTCAGCTGAAATAAGACGAATGTAAAGGCTTCATATTCCCTCCAGACAAACTGCATGCATGTATATTGTGATTCTGCTAATAGTGTGCTGTTGCCAGCTAAATATACAAAGATGTATTTGTGCATATTCTGCACCTCTGTATGTATTCTGGGACGTTTGTTTTTTATTCAGTTCTGCTGATCCTACTTAGTATAAAGTTACTTTATTAGATGTTGATAAGCTGTTCAAACATTTTCAGTGGAGGAGGGACATGAAGGCCTTACCCATTTCCTAATGAATGAGATCATTAAGCTTCAGCAGCAAGTAAAGACAAAAGATGTGCAGCGCTGTGAACTCTTGGCTAAGTCTCGCCAGTTGGAGGATGAGCGAAAGCAGCTAAAACTGAACAAGATAGAGCTGCTGACCTTCCAGGAGAGATACAACAAGATGAAGGAGGAAAGGAACAACTACAATGATGAGCTGGTCAAGGTGAAAGATGAGAACTACAATCTGGCCATGAGATATGCCCAGCTGAGTGACGAGAAGAGCATGGCTGTGATAAGAAGCCGAGACCTCCAGTTAGAGGTGAGATAAATGCTCTGGGCTGCTTTAATCAGGAGCAGCAATGGAGGAGGGCAGTGGCATCTGGCAAAATGAGATCTTCTCTGACAGTAGAAAGGTGTAGAGCTCTTATTTGCTCCGCTCATCCAGATGATTAGAGGCATCGCTGTGCAGAAATGCCAACTGCAGTGATATGTATTAATGGCAGATAATGTACATACCTGTAATGGATTAACAGAATATAACATATTTAAAAACAAAGTTTTAGAAACATAACTGTTTGCTAAAAATGTAATTTTAGCTTTTCAGGCTCAATAATATCTTGGGGCAGTTATCCAGGTTTGAACTACAAATGTTGGTGGTTCAAAAAGTCTCACATAGAGCATTGGAACAGCTTGAGGCCATTTAGGAAATACAGATAAATGCTTGAAGTGCCATAAAATTCATGCTTGTGTGTATGTCACAGATGAAATGGAGAAAACAACTACCTATAGTGGATCTGGGCACTGGAGTTTATTTTAGAACCAATGATATCAGACGTTTTATCCCACTTGTTTTTTTCACACAGTCGTTTGCTCTCTCCCCCACCTCGGCGCTGCCTTCTCTCAGGCTCAGCATCCCTTCCCCGCAGGGAGATCGCTGCTGGTGAGGGAAGGTTGGGCAGAAAGTCCCGTCTGCTCACAGTCACCAGTCACAGGTGTTACTGGGCATCCCCTGGCCTTCATCCCCTGGCCTTCATCCCCTCTGATCTCCAGGGTCTTCCTCCACTTTCAACATTTTGACTCCAGCCAGGATAATTATCACTTTCTTCCCAGGCCCTCTTCTGTCTGAAACCACTTTTTCTTTTTGGAAACCTCTCTTTTCTATCCAGAACTTGAAGCCCCTGTTTTTTCCAATCCAGATAGTCTATGTGCAGAAGCATAAAGTGTGGTCAGCCTCCTAAGTGTTAGTTCTGTTTATATCTCTTTATTTATTGAAGGATTGAGGATGTGCCACTTTTTTTTTTTTAGTCCAGAAATTATCAAAATTTACAGTCAGCCCATACCAGCTGTAGCTAGCAAATAGCAGGTGTCTGCCTGAGAGTTCAACAGTTCAGTTGTGGACATTCAACACACAAGCACATACACCCAGTTTGCTGCTTGTTAGCATTCACAGTTTAAGCTGCTTTTTCCACCTATGACAGTACATTTTCACCTGGAAGTGAAAGCTTTTTCAGAGCAGTAACTATCAGAGCTAGGAGTGATTTCTTTCCTTTCCTCATTCTCATTTTTGCTGCTTCTTGGCTGCTCTAGATTGACCAGCTGAAGCATCGCTTGAACAAGGTGGAAGAGGAATGCAAGCTGGAGAGGAACCAGTCTTTGAAACTGAAAAATGATATTGAAAACCGACCCAAAAAGGAACAGGTTCTGGAGCTGGAGCGGGAAAATGAGATGATGAAGACTAAAATCCAGGAGTTACAGTCCATTATTCAGGTATATAATCAGATTGCTACATTTAAAATTCCAACCGCCTCAGCTTACCCCTCCTGCTTACCCAGATGATGGATGAGCAGGCTTCAACTACTCCTTGCCTCCAGGCACCCCCACACTCTCCTCCCATGCTGTCTCACATAGCCCACAGCTCCTCACAGCCTTCCGTGGTGGCTGCTTTTCAGGATCTGAGTGTTTGGGGGAGGCTGTGAGAGTGAGACAGAGAAGCAGGGGGTGGTGACAGCTCCCATGTGTTTTCAGTAAGGGACGGGGAGTTGAGTACATAACAGGGAAACTGGACAAGAGGAGGTGTCATGGTCTCTGCTACCACTGCTCACCTCAAACTCAACACGTACTCTGCTACAATGCTGAGGAATGTTGGGTGAAACTGCTACCTGCAAAGCTACAATAAGCAGAAGTGCAAAGTTTGGAAAAACAGAGGTTGGTTGTATAGGTCCCAGCTGTCTGTAGTACTCATTGTACAAACACATGCATGAGGACTTCAACTAAAAAAAAAATTGTCATCTAATAAATCAAGCTGTACATGAGAGATTGGCTCTTTCAGGGTACAGAGTGCAGCTGTTTAATTGCTGAGCATTCAACTCCGTGTTTTAGCCCTGCTGTGGTTCTTTGTACCAGCCTGTCACTACAAAGCTGTGTTAAATAGCCAGCCCAGAATTTCTGACAGTGGCTCTGTGTACCCTGTTTTAGGCTATTGTCATATCTGTGCCAAAAGATCTTAATGAAGCAGAAGATAATAAAGGTTTCTGTACTTGGGTGGTCACTAATTACCAGAGTGCACTATAGGATGCTGCTGTAACTTGCACAGGGATCTTGACCAAACTTTGTTTGGGCAGATAGGGAAAAGGGATGATATGCAGCAAATTTAGCACTGTGTTACTTTGTGAAGAGCTTAGCCAAATATTAGGATATATGTGGGAGTGTTTAGCACCTTGCTGGAAAAGGCTTGTGGCATTTTAAAATAACACTTAAAAAATTATCAATATCATGCATTTCAGAAATGGATGTAGCCTCTAGCAGTGCCTAATGATTCTTAGTTCTAACACAAATCCAATTCAAGGGTTGAAAAAGGGTGTAGTATAGAAGGTTCTGGGAGATCTGGTCCATGTAGAACCTCTTATATTAATTAAAATAGTCTTATAGCACCTAAAGAAACAGAGAAATAATGAAATAGCTAAAAACAGGATTGAAATTCTCCCAAGTGAAAGTATAAATAAACAAAAGGCAGTTTGTTTTAGAAATACTTAGGTATTCTTAGAAACATTGGGTAACCAAAATGTCATTGAAATCTCCAACTTAGTCTAGGTATCTTAAAAATAAATATTCATATTACTTGCTTGCATTTTATGCCTTTTTCATCTTCCATTTATGGTTAATTTTGGATGGCAATTTATTTGTTGGAACCTGCTCTGGTAATCTTGTTAATTTTAAATCTGAAAGAAAAAATATTGCTGGACATGACAGAAAATGAAGCAGTGGTACAAGCTACTCCAGGCACGTTTAATATTCTCTGAGCACAGCCCTGCAAAGCCTATGCATGCTTTAAAAATTCTCCTGAATGTTTTCTTAGGCCCTGCTCTTTGGCAAAGGGTGGTTTTTTGTGCTTAGTGAGAGCTGATTAATAGAGAAGTGTTTTGAATGCAGGTCTTGGAGTGAAGAATTGTCACTGCATCCAAAATGGATCAAATTATAGCCAGTACAATAAAACAGTAAAACAGTTCCTTCATCAGACTATTCTGACAGCAAGACAGCCCTTATTCATCTTTCCTGACACTATTTTAAAATATGAACGAATGTCCATCTCTTATCCTGCCTTCCATGCAATACCATATTCATTTTCTGTTCCTCTTGCTTGTTACTGTCTTTGTTACTTTTCTCCCTGCAATACTATTTTCTCTTTCCCTGGCCTGTCTCTTTTAAAAACATCTTTCCTCAGGCTGACAAGAGGAGTTTGCCAGATTCAGACAAAGCCATTTTGGATATTTTGGAACATGACCGTAAGGAAGCACTAGAAGATCGTCATGAGTTGGTCAACAAGATCTTTAATCTCCAAGAGGAGATTCGCCATGTGGAGGACTTGAGAGACAAGGTGAGAAATGGAAGGATGGAAAGATGGAATATCTCGGGCTAGTGCCCAAAAGACCTCTGAGAGCAGTGGTGGTTAACAGTGTGTCATTTCCAGTATCTTGAAGAGAAAGAAGATTTGGAGTTAAAGTGTTCAACACTAGGAAAAGACTGTGAGATGTACAAGCACCGCATGAACACTGTGATGATACAGCTAGAAGAGGTGGAAAAGGAGCGAGACCAGGTATCTAACAGTTAAAGTGGGGAAAATTAGTAGCAAAAGCCTGTATCTCATATGTGTCACTTTGGAGAATTGTGGGTAATTGGACCCAAAATGCCATTAAAAAATAAACAGTTACAAGAAATTGCTACTTGTTGGAATTTGCATTACAGTAATTAAACATAGGATAATATTGGGTTGTTTCCACAGTGTAGCATCTGGCAGGCAGGACCAAGATCTTAACAGCTACTGCAGGCTTTTTATTAGTGTGAAGCCATCCAGTTTGCACTCTGGAGCATTTTGCCACCAACCAAGAGGGAGCTGGAAATGAACCACCCTCATTATTGTAATTTTTAATGGTACTACTGTGGCACATCCTGGCCCTAACTGCTGTGTTAACTGGTGAATGGTTACCAGTTCTGAAGTCCCCATTCCAAACACCTTACAAACAAAACCAGCGGAAGAAGGTGACTGATGCCCAGATGCAAAAGATGTTTCTTTTCTCCACTGCAGGCATTCCGCTCGCGTGATGAGGCTCAGACACAGTATTCACATTGTCTGATAGAAAAAGATAAATACAGGAAACAGATTCGAGAGCTGGAGGAGAGAAATGATGAACTCCGAATTGAGGTGGTTCGGAAAGAAGCCTGCATTGTTAACCTGGAGTGCAAACTCCGACGGCTCTCTAAGGACAATAACTTTCATGACCAGGTAGGACTGAGGAAGACAGACATGAGTTCTTTTTTTAAGACTTGCTTTTAAAAACATTTTGGTGTGGAAGGGAGAGGGGACTTTTAGTTCACTCCATGAATTAACTGAAAAAAAAACCCAACCCTTCCTTCTACTAAATGTCAGTGTTGTGAGTTCTTCAGTACCGTGGGATTCAGGTTGTCTATGTCATGCACATAGCTTCTCAAAGGCTAGCATTCCACAACTAGATTTTAAATGGAAGGGAAAGAAATGCAGAAAGACAATTAATTTCTACACTGTGGTAGAAACTACAGATACTTTTGAGGAACATGCCCCAGTGAAATCCCCACAAATGTCAATCTAAATTACTGATTTGAGTCCGAAGCCACATTCTATGTGAGCTTCTGAAGCACTGGAGTCACAGAAAGTTCAATCAGATTACTCTAAAGGGAGGTCATGAGGAGTTCTACCAAACTGGTCTCAGAAGTGTTTCCTTCTGATCTTCAGAGTTTGCCACGGAATCTACCCATTACCATTATCTCGCAAACCTTTGGAACTCCTAGCCCAAAAGCCAATGGTCAGGAAGCAGATGACTCCTCCACTTCTGAAGAGTCTCCAGAAGACAACAAATTCTTCTTGCCTGATCAAGCTCGACTCAAGAGACGAGTGAATCTAAAGGGAATCCAGGTGTGTCTTTAATATGAGACTGGAATCATATAGTACAGGGATTGTTAGAACTAAGAGACATAATACATGTTGCAGTCATGACTCTGAAAGTGCCGTGCTGTGAAGATAAGAATAGATTTGTATATGATAGTGACCTGTCAGATTTTGCCCTGTGGTGGTTTGCATCTTGAGGAGCAAATATAATCAGGCTTCATAGACCATTTTTTGCCGTTTCTCCCCGTTTTGTGTATTCTCCTTGCTTCTGCTGTTCATTCACATTCTTGGAGCGTTGTCAATAAATTGATTCTTTGCCTCCTTAACAGTAGTGAAAAAAAATGGCATAATGCCCAAAGTCCAGCACACAAGTGACTGAAGGTGGAAAACGAAGCAGTGGTTGAAAAGCTCACTTCAGCTGGAAGGAATAATAGAAAGAAATGGACACAATCTAGAGCAAAATTAACTACCTAATTTAGAATTAAATTATGGCAATTTCCTCTCACTTAAGAGTAAGGGGTAGCATGAGTTAGGTCCATGATTTCCCCAACTAGCTGCATTCATACAGCTATTATTTGATGCTATATTCATGAATTGTGAAAAATACACAATCTAAATTTCGGGGGTTTGAGCTTCTCTTTCCTTTCATCTACATTTGAATTCTCCCTGCCCTTCATAACCTTTCTGAGCTCTGACTGTCATTATTACTTATGGCAATAGAGCTGCATTTTTTACACTACACACTCCAAAAGGATGCCTGTTGTATTAACAGCTGCCTGAAACCAGTCCCAAGGCACCCACTTCACCTTTTGTCTCTTTGTTCCCTCAGCAGAATCTGAAAATTGCAGTGCATTTGGGCCAGACTTTTAATAGTTAGCTAACTCTTGTTCACTGCAGTGCCATTTAGATACCTAAATATCTTCTAAATGTTGGGTCCTGTTGTTTAAAGGAGGACAAATACATTGCAGTGTAACAGTGGAAAAAGGGATGAAAATATCTGGTTTACACTGTGTCGCAAATATTCTGCATTTGTGCTGATTTTTGTCCTCTTTCTTTTAGATAAATCCAAGAGCTAAATCCCCTGTGAGCATGAACAAAACATCAGAATTTCAAGGTCAGAAAGAGCACCCATGTTCTTATTCCTTTTCTGTTGCTTTGTCTCATTCACTTAATCTCTTTAAGTTGTTTTAACAAATATGCCAACCAGGGAAATTCTTAACTAAGTCCAAGTCAGTAAAATAGACAGTTTCTCTCATAGTTAACAATGTCATAATTTAAAGTAGTTAAGTGTTCTATCTGAATGTCCTATCCATCCAAAGATATCTCCACAGACACACAACATGGCATCCCATAACTTCCCTAAATTTTCTGTTTACTTAATTTTCCTTTTAGTTTACAAAAATTTTGAAGTCATTGGTGTGTAACACCTGTACTAAAAGTCATTATATTCTCTTTTTGCTGTTGGAAAAATCCTTCAAGCTGAAATCTAGTGTTCGCCTAATGAGTTCCTTTGTCCTTCAGCAGAAGGGAATTAATTTTAAATCTAAAGCATTGCAAAGGTTGGGGGGAAGGGGGTTGACCCACCCATCAGCCAGCTGCAAAGTTACCAAGTTCATTGCTGTATGCTCATGTTTGAGCTACTCCTAATTCCTCTTATCTATGTAACACTTCTCAAATCAAACACCATCTCAGGCAGCACTTCCTTTATATGTTATGTGTGGCAGTGTGCTCACTCTAGTACAAAATATGGTGGGAAACATGGTTCCTGCTGCAAGATATTGCATGTTAAACTGTATGTTTGGTATCAGGTAATGTGCAGCATTAGTACAAATTAGAGATGTTGAGGAAGGGAAGGAGTCCACAAAGACATTCACACTGTGCTACCTGGGGCTGCTGAGGGATCTCAAGCGTCTTGATCCCTGTTGTAAATTTTTTGTTGTAAAAAAGGTGTAATTCAGTGATCCAACCTTATTGCAGACTACCAGATAAAGGTGATGAAATTAAAACATAAATTAATAAAACAATCCTCCTTTAATTTGTCAAATAGTATTCGTAGATCTAATAAAAATGTACAGGATGGAGTTGAAAGAAGATGCTGTCAAGAGGCTGTCCAGAGTGGCATGCATTTCTGTACTTGGTCAGGAAGCTGATGGAGAAGGAAAGGGAGCCGGAGCTGCAGGGCACAGAGCGCTTCCTGGAGCCTCTGTCCGGTACAGGGTAGGGGAAACAAGATAAGATGAAGTGGGAAGATAACCTAAGTGTTACTTGAAATCTGTGAAAGATTCTGTATTGAAAGTGATCTAACATGATTTCCTCTGGTGTCTGTATTTTTCTCTGTCACCTGTGAGTGCAGCAGCCAGAGCACAGGATGAAGATGGGGCTGACGCCAGCAATGGCCGCACAGACACAAGTTCCTCTAATTCTGTTTCCATCAGTAACTCCATCAGCAGCTGTGAAGTCAGCAAGATTGTAAGAAGCCTCCAGATGTCCCTTGCCTGTCCACAACCATCTCTCCTAATGTGGTTCAGAGCTTTCACAACCCAGTATTAGCACTTCACTAGCATCCCAGCTGTGATTGCATTCAAGGCCTTGTCGGAGGCTCCCTTAATCCTTTTACCAGCATTTTGTTAGAACCATGTTATTAGCCATTTACAAAATCACAGAATTGGTTTATGTTTATTTAAAGATATTTCAAAGGTATTTATGACCTCTTGCTGTCTCCGTATGCCATTTCACATTTACTGTTAGAAGGAAGAGATTTTCTTTAAAAGCTGCTTTGTAATTTATTTAAGAAAATTTTTTTTTGGGGGGGGTGAGTTCTCTAATGCTTTTCCTATATATAAGTAATGGTGAGTGAGAAAAGGGGTGCAGATCACAGTTGGAAATTTCTGCATACCATAGCCAAACCGTTTCTTCTCTGCTTTCTGTATCCCCATAATCTCCCAAGGTAGATATTCCATTATACATATGTGAGCACTGACACAGCAGGACAAGCAGACAGAGAGAGTGCTCTTGCAGAGTGTTAATAACAAAGAACAAAATATCTTTCTAGAACACTGTGAAAAATTCTGCCCCCAGAAAATTAAAATTATACCCAAGAATAGCCAGGAAAGAACTCCCTGCCACTCATAATAAGCTTAGCTGGGTTAGGAATATTCTTTGGAATATCTGTTGGCTATTCAGATGACTTAGACTATCTTCCCTCCAGTACAGTTCAGAGTTTAGTTTCCAGTATACTAGATTAATAATTTAATGTATGGAGATTGGTATTTTTCTTCCTCATTCCTACTGCTTCTATATGTAAGTACGCATACAGTCTGCTTTTCATCCTCTTCCTCCTATATGTCAGCTGTACAACACATATGCCACACATCAAGGGTAAAGTTAAAATTGTTTGGTAAATCAGCCAGTCATGTGATCACAGAAAAAGGTACTGTGCCAGCACACAAGCTGTGCCTATTGCTAAAGTACTGGAATATATGAATATGAATGTTGCATGTAGCATTCTGTGTGTCTAGAATCAATTTTTCTTACTGTTGTGTGTGCTGCACAGTGCAGAGTACCACTGGCAGGCTAGCAAGCTAATGCTTCTGTAAGTTAGAAATGATAGCATAGGTAAGACAGATAACCTGTCTGTCACTTTTTTTTTTAAAAAAGCAAACCCTGAGAAATCGCAATGACAGCATCATGTCTACCACTCCTGAGCCTCCAGGAAATGATTCAATAGTCCGACGCTGCAAAGAGGATGCCCCTCACTGCAGGTATGTGGCCACGCTGCTGAAATACGCCTGGAACCTGTTGTGATAAGGAGGAGGTAAAAAGGACCATAGATGTCCTTGTGTGTGTCTCTAGTTTGGAGAGCTTCTGTTAGGCACCAGGACTAGCTTGCTAAACTTCTCAAGGCTGCAGTCCTTCATCCTTCATTTTGTCCAAAACACTCAGAAGTCTCTGATAGTTCAGCTGGGATGAAGACACAGTGATACCACTGCAGCACTGACTTTTTTGATGTACATAATAAGAAACACTACTGAAATTACTAGTCACCAATGCTATTGGAGAATGTGCTCTACCTCTGCAGACTGATATGGCTTCACTTTTTGCTTCTCAGCTCCATGCTGCCTGTGTCAGTGTCCCTGTCCTTTCCCCTTCTCTCAAAGCCCTTCCTTCTCCTTAGTAAACTGTCAAAATAGAGCAGAGCTGCTTGAATGTCTGTGAGGGACGGTGGGGAAAAGTGGAGGAGGGAGGTGGTTTTGTTGGTCTTGGGGCTCTATATCTCAGCACAGGGAGATGCATTGCCCTCTGCTTCACCTTCTGCTGCAGCTTCCACTTCTGTCTGGTCATGGCCCTGTGGACTTCCCCTGCGAGTCAAATTGGATCAGCTGGGAAATGGGAAGTAGTGGCAGGAAGGAGAGAGACCTTGCCTGCCTCACAGTCCCCTAAATGGCACCGACCCCTTTTCTAAAAGGTTTATAGCAATGCAGTACTTGGACATACTGGTGTTGGTGTCAATAGCATCAGTGCTTGTATCAGAAATATCAGAAGATACAAATACATTCCCTAAAGGTCCCAAGCAGAAGAAGAAAAGAACAAAGCCCAAGCAAAACAATTTAGAAGAAAGCAGTATATGTGGAGGGTTTAGATCTTTATTAGATCTATTTTTTAGATCTAATCTTTATTAGAACATTATTTATATTTTTTTATGCTTTTCAAAACAAACTAATCTTTGGCAGACTGCCACTTTTGCCTCTCTTTCTCTGTGCAAGGTTTTGGAAGACAGCTTTCCCTTGAGGGCACCCTCAGCTAGTTCCCCTACATCATTTTCTAGGCTGCTGAGGATTTAGGCAGAGTTTATTCTAGTCGCCCTTAGCTTCTCCTATATTGTCCCCCCTTTCTAAAGTGTGTTGTGTTGATTCAAGGTGGAGAAAAAGGCTTGTTTTATTAATGATTTGAATGTCTCATGTTTCAAGTGCTTAACTTAAAAGCCTTTGACATGTCTGAACATTTAAATATTTGCAGTATTTTACAGAATGCAGTAAAGATTACATGGATATTATTCATCTCGTGGAGTTATTTCTCTACAGCTCTGACTATATTCTGTTCCATATGTTAAGACACAGGAAGACTGAGCTGTACTGAAATCTGAAAATTTCCCTTATGTTAGATACTCCTTCCCACTGGCATGTGGAAGGAAAAGGTACCCTGGAGCAAGGTCTGAATGTGGCCTTACTTTGTTGAGCTAATAATCACTAAAGTCAAGTATTTTAAGAGCGTGCCTAAAAGTTCACTGTAGTTTATAACTTTATAATTAGCCAGCTAAGGTTTTTTAACTTGTTTGTGAACATAATCCAAAATAATTGCTATTTGCATGCCAAGTTGCAGGTTTCACAGTTCATCTGATCTTGATTTGTGTGAAAAAAAAAGTGAGATCATAATTTTAAGGTAGGGAAAGGTATATTATTTCATAGCCTACTCGTGGTATAAAAATAGTTGATTCTCCCCAGCCTGGCTGCAAAGATTCACCCTTCACCTGAAGCCAAATGTGAGGAATAGCAGCTCCACAGGAGACCTGCAAATCTTTCTGAATGGGAAAAACAACAAGCTGTTATTTAAACAGCTTTGCAACCAAAGGACATGCTTTAATGAAGTCCTTCTAGTGAGGCAAACAGATCACTCACTTGGCTGGACATCCCCAATATCCCTTTAAGAAAAAAATTTTGCTGAATTTTAACTGTTTGTTTTTAAGGACAACCAATCTAGTCACCCTTAATAGGAAGAGTTGTGTCATTGGGAGCTGGACTGGGACCAGAGCTGTGGCATACGTTTCTGTGCAAAAGCTTGGTACATCTTGCCATTCTGTTACTGTAGGTATCTGAGTAACCATGCGAGGTACCATTAAGCTGTTATAAAATGCTTCAAGTACTTTAAATCAAGCAGGTAAATTACTCCTTTACTGCTGCACCTCAGTCACTTCCCTTGCATTCACTCTGTCCATCAGTGAGCTTCTGACATTTTTGATCTATCATGGAAAGAACCCCAAGCTGCACTATATATACAGCAAACATTATGCAACCATTTATCTCAGTGCTGAAGCAGGTGTGGTGTATGTCACATGTATGAGACCATCAGTCAGTAGCTTCCCTTTGTCTTCAGCAAACTCTTAATTTCCTCACTCCTGTTAGCGGTTCTTCTTTCTGAACCTTCTCGCTGCTTCACATGCTTCCCATGTTGGCTGACACATACTGTCTTCCTGACATCTTCCTACATCTTCCCTGGGACCACAAGTATGTTACTTGCTTATTTTTTTGCAGCTGTGACACTGTCTGATGCAACACCTCCAACATCTTTCTTTTTCACAGAAAATGTTCCTCCTTCAGAACTTAATGAAATCTGCTGAAGTTGGAAATCTGCTGAAAGCTGCAAAGTGAATACCTTTCTCTCTCTCACTCTCTTCCATTGTCTCATGCTTTGTTTTTAATTCCAGCCTGGTTGAAGAGGACAATGACAGCTTTGGATATGATGCTTTGGAGTTAGATGGTAAGCAAGAGAATGTCATGTATATAGTTTAATTATGTGAACAGTTCACCAGCTACAAATACTGTCAAATAATCAACTCCTGGTCTAAATAAAATGGGACACATAGTCTGAGAAAAAATCAAGTCACTTCATCATAACAAGAAAACAAAGGGTCAACTAGTGGTGAGAATAAGAAAACAGTTATTCCTGAAGAACTAAGTGGGAGAAGGATTAGACTAAATGAATAGATGGAGGGTACTAGGCTGAGGTTTGAAGCTTGATAGGAAGACCTCCAGCTTTAAAATGGGAAAGCATCAAATTGAGAGGGGAAAGAGTAAAGAAGACAGAACCAGACGCTTCTCAGTGCTACCCAATGAAAGGAGAGGAGGCAGTGGGCACAAACTAAAGAACAAGCAATTCCATTTAAACGAAAAAAAAAAAGCTTTTTTACTGTGAAGGTGGTCAAACACTGGAACAGGGTTGTCCAGAGAGGTTGACTAATCTCCATCCTTGGAGATAATCAAAACTCAACTGGTCAGATCCTCAGCAATCTCCTCTAGCTGGCCCTACTTTGGGCAGGGGGTTTGACTAGACAGTCTCTAGAGGTCCCTTCCAACTTGCTGTTCTGTGAGAGTGATCAGGTAGTAGTGCCAGTAAGCAAGACTGGCATTGCTTGCCATGGCCTGTGGACGTGAATCATGCCTCTGCATCAGGAATATCCTCCTTCAGCTTTGGCTGGGGTCAATCAAACATTAATTTTTCCTTTTTCATCTTTGTCATTCTATCTAGGACTCATTTTCATTCTTGTTACTCTTTTCAGATGACAGTCATGACAGGCAGTCACATGGAGCTCCTTCAGTGCACTCTTCCTCTTCTTCTCATCAGTCAGAAGGCCTGGATGCCTATGAGCTTGAGCATGTCAACTCCATATTTAGAAAGTTCTCTCTGGAAAGGTATTTGAGATGCCAGCTTAGAGACTGAGAAGAAAGGCTACTATGGTAGAAATCCTCCATTTATCTATTAGTAGTTGAAGATATAAAGGCAGGAATATGATGTCACAAATTGTTATTTGACACAAATATCTCATGATACTATGCTCAGTCTAATTCTTCATGTTGGCAGCGGTATCACATGTTATTTTGGAGCCCTTTCATATCCTGTGTTTACCAATGACCAATGAAGGTCATCCTAAAATTTCAAAAACTTCAGGGCAGACAAAATGTTCTAGAGGCTTGAATTTACCCTTGTGATCTTGTTATCTCACTGCCACAGGTTGCTAGGTGAGGTACGATTACACATCTGAGTTATTCAGTCGTGTCAGAGCACTCAAAGCTATCCAGATGCTCTTCTCCAGAACTTACGCAGTAATGAGAAGGATTTCTTTTAGAGTCCATAGATCCTAGTGCTAGATAACACTAAAGGTTTATTTATATGTGTCTCATTTATCATGCATGCATTTAACTCTGAAGTGGTGGCTAAAATCTGAGGTAACTAACTGTTACTTCTTTTCATGAACACAGACCTTTTCGTCCCTCTGTCACATCTGTTGGTCGCATTAGAAACTCCTGCCATACTATCCAGCGTGTAATACTGAATGGAGACAACCTCAATTCAGAAATCACTCTGGTTGGGGGTAATGATAAAGGGAGCTTTATTAGCTCTGTCAAGACAGGATCACTTGCAGAGAAAGCAGGCCTTCGGGAGGGACATCAAATCCTACTGGTGAGAATAAAATAATCAACAGTGTTGGATGTCTGTTCACGTACATGCGTGCACGCTCACCACAATATTTTCCTTTGTTTCTTCTTTCATCTTGTAATAATGACAAAGCATATGACTTGTGCAGAAGAAAATCTGCTATCGACTATGAAAATATGGGAGAATAGTATTTATGGTCATCCAACACACGCACACACTTTTGCACTTTACAGTAGCTCTGTGTGGAAGAGATCAGAGCACCTGATGCTATATTGTATAGTACAGCCCCTTTGAAAAGACTAGAATGGGATTTGCTCTCAACTTCCCAGTACTTTCCTGCCTACTTAGCTTAGCATGGTGACTCCTAAACCACTCTTTAGAGTGGCCTGTCTTGGGACTGGACATTCATGAACAGAAATGGATATAGCTGCAATGTGAAGAGGAAGAAGGGCTGCACAGCTGCATAGCTGTCCCTGGCATCACGTAAGCAGGCGTTCAGTGGTGTTTCTGCTAAGTGGCTCTTTGCTTAGTTTTCTCTCCATTGCCAATGTTCCCAAACCTTTTTCATATTAAAATGCGTTCAAGGGGGAAAAAAACCCCCACAACTTATATTCCTGCACTACTTACTACTGGAAAGCCTGGGATTGCTAAAGAGCTGCAGTTCTGTTGACTGCTAGCATTCCTAATTTGAGAGAAAATAAATGAAATAATTAAAATGCAATCTGCATCCTGATAGCAAAGTATCCTCATTGTTTAATCAGAAAAAGATTATGCTGCTGAAAAAAAAATGGTGTAATTGTCCGAGAGATTGAACCCGTACTGGAGAGTAATATTTCTTTCATATCTAGTTGGAGGGCTGCATCAGAGGGGAAAATCAGAGTGTTCCCTTGGATACGTGCACAAAGGAAGAAGTTCACTGGACAATTCAGAGGTGCAGTGGTCCAGTAACACTCCAGTATAAATCAAATCATGAAGGTAAGACCAAAATTATTTCTCATCTCAGATAGTCCCAGGTCTATTTTACTAACTTATCTGGATGAGAACAACAGAACCAGAATATCCTTTGTATTGGTATAAATCTGAAGCATGCCCACTGGTGTTAATTATAGCTACTCTGTATAACTGCTCCAGCTTTTAGCTTTGTGACTGAGAACAAAAAAAAGTCCATATGCTTGTCACTACAGGACTCTGAAGAATTTACATGGTGGGCCAATAATGACATGACTCACAAAACACATTCAAGCTTATTTTTATGTACGGTTTCTGTAATACAATGGTGAACTGAAGTCGATTTAGCGTTTACCTGATGGATTTGACCTGTTTATTGCCTTTGTGGCTTTATCTTATCTTTAACAGCTGGAGTTCATATGGGGTGAATGGAATTTGATTTTAGTGTTCATGGCCTGTAATGATAATTTCAGGTTATGGGTCAAAAATTACATTCTAAAATCCATTTTTTACTGGTGTATATAAATATATGGGTTTTTTTTAAAATGCCGGTTAGAGAATTTCAGCTGCATAGATCACACTGGAAGTGATGTCTTTGATTTTCTTTGATATTTTCAAAGGTAAGAAAGACTATTGCAGTTTTCTTTGAGCACCACTTAACTGCAGATAAAGCATGTTATAGATTGTGGGAGTGCCAATTAGAGCTAATAATAAAGGGAATAGCTTGTCATTAAAATTGGTGGCAGAACTCAAGCTGTACTTACAGGATAGAGCTATAAGTGTGTCTGCATCTTTGCTGAGAAGTTCTGTTTCACAGGTCATGTGTGGAGTACTGAAAAAGGAGTTACCTAAAAGTATATAATTATAATGAGAATATTCTCACTGATTGTGATACCAGCAGCATGAGCTGGTTCTGAATCAATGTCCCATTGATGTCTGTAAGGTGTGGCTTGTTGTAACTAGTGTAACTAGCGCTCTGGAAGTATAAACCCTCTCTCGGAGGAGCCTCAGAAGTTTGTGCTGTGTGCTTCTCCCAGAGGATGCCCAGGAATGCAGAGTCCTGAGGTCTGACCAGTAGCAATCGTGCTTCCCCCCTTCCTTCGCTGCTGCAGGGTACCGGAAACTGCTGGCAGAACTGGAGGAAGGGCTGATCACATCGGGGGACTCGTTTCATATCCGTTTGAATCTGAACATCTCCAGCCAGCTGGACTGCTGTTCCCTGTCAGTGAAGTGCGATGAGATTGTTCATATTCTTGACACCATGCACCAGGGGCGGTGTGAGTGGCTGTGTGCCAGAGTTGATCCGTTCACCGACAGGGACCTGGAAATGGGGACCATTCCCAGCTACAGCCGGTGAGCGTAATGCTGAGTGACCACGACTGAGAGCAGAGATTCTGTAAACAGGGAAATTAATAACTGCTGTAAGGAAAGAGGTATATGTCTTAATTTCTGAGATGAGGCCTGGTGATGTTAAACTCTAATATGAGCTGTAAAGCTTTAGAAAGGAGACTCCAGATGTTACCTGAAAGAATAATGTGGGTTTCTCAAAAAGTGTCAGGGGAAAATACGCCATGGAGATTCTTTAATCCTTAACTGCACTGCAGTCCTGCTCATTATTTTGTTCCTGCTTTTGCTGTGTGGTTCAGTCAGTCCTCACTGCTATTTCTATTTAATCTTTCCTGCAGGCACAGACCCATTGCAATCCAGCTGTCTTCTGAGTGGTTTCAAAGATACCTTGATCTATGTGATTCCATCCTTTCTTTCAGAGCCCAGCAACTTCTTTTGGTGAAGCTGCAGCGGTTGATGCACAGAGGAAGCAAAGATGAGACGGAAAGCTCATATAATACCCTTCGGGCACTCCGGGTAAGTATCTACAAACAGGGTCTTTTTAACACCTGATAGTGCACCGCTACTTGTTGTTCATTATGTTAATTTTACAGAAAGTCCTGTATACGCTCTGTGTAGGTTTTGATTGTGCCATGCAATGGGCACCTTACGTTTGCTTTAAATAATATTGTCCCTGGCAATGGATCTAGTTTTGGCACACTATTAACCCTTCCATCTATGAGGGAGTGCACTTGAAAAGTCTAATATCTGTTATATGTCTTAATCCTTTTCATTCTTCTCTGCCTGTAAGCCTCTAATGTATCTTCATATCCACATAAGGAAGAAGCTGTGTCCTTGGAGTTAATAATCAGAATTATTTCTCTCCTACCTTGAACAAGAATCTAATCCACAGAGCTGTCATTGTCCCATATTAGAAAGACCTGTCTCTTCCAACTTGTATGCTATGGAGAGAAGTGGGATTATCAGGTCTTCACACACAACAGCCCTGCCGATTTCTCCTTTTCCTTCAATTAAAGTAATTTGATTTTTCTTTCTTTAGACTCAAGAATTCCGTCTTTACATAATTAAAAGCTAACTTCCTGGTGTATTAGTTGCCATAAGTTATTTTTAGAGCTTGGGAGACATATATGTTTCTAACATTTGCAGAGACACTGTAGTCAGTGGTTGTATTTGATTTCAATCAGGGTTAAGTGTCACGCATTCCTTCTGTACTGCAGTCTCCACTGATCAAAGGGACAGAGATCACTGGCAGAGATGTTAGTGAAAGCAAAAGCTTTGCATGCTATTTCTTGATGCAGAAATTGCCTCTTTCATAAGCTGTGGAGAGCAGTGTCCTGTGAAGAAAGGAATGTGAAGAACAGTAACAGTAGCGGTGTTTCTCAGCGTAGGCCATGCTATGACTACAGTTTGCTTAGAACGTTGTACTTGGGGTAGATATCAATTAATCACTATCCCTTTTATTGGAAATATAAAATACCTGCTTTTGCTTGTTCTGTTTCTTGAATACTATGATTTAAAAAAAAAAAAAAAAAGAGGGAGGGAAAGAAAAATTCCTATGTTCTTTTTTACTAGAATACATTGCAGCCAGAGGAGCCTCACCCACAGAATGACCCAAAGGCCAGCCCTCGCCTATCCAGAGCAAGCTTTCTTTTAGGCCAAATATTACAGGTAATAAAGTTCAAATCCTCAATGCAGTGTCTGAAATAGTGGATTTGAACAGCAGGTTTTCTCAGGCTATCCTAATTTCCCCAGAAACCCCACCTCAGGTATAGAGGTTGTATCAGGATTTATTCCCATCAAAAAGAGATTTAATACATAAAAAAGATGAAAGGGTTGTGTTTTCTAACTGCTCTTGTAGTGTGGAGTGTTTATTTTTTTAAGTGCAGGCCTTCCATTACTGATGTAGCTTGATGAATCAAACATGTCTGCCATGAGGCTGAAATGTTTTGCTTGAACCATAAGAACAAATCCATTGGGCTTGACCAAATCCCCAAGTCTCCGAGAGATAAGGTTCCATCAGAAAATAGTCCTTTAATTGTAGGTCAGTGACTCTGAGAATGACAGAGACTGTGTGAGTGAAAGATAAAGTCTTGAGAAGGAAGATGGTTGTGAAGGTCAGCAAATACACAGGAGGAGGAATTAATATTTGGATAGAGGAATAGTTGGGTGGATGAGGAATGAAAGCATGAAGGCTTTTCTCAGTGTAAAAATGTGCCATTTGAGAGGTTTTAAGTTTCCTTGGTACAGCAAAGAAGAGGCAGAGTTTTGGGCATAACCTGTGATACATTTGTGCATATAGTCAGAGTGGGTATGTTACTCTGCTGTGGACACATCAGTGCTTGTACTGGTGATAGCCGGGAGCTCTGCAAAGAAAAAAAACATGCTGCTTAAGAGCAGAGAACAAAAGGAAAAATCCCGAAGGGGATTAACAAAGTCTCTGAATCAGATCTATGATATTTAAAGAGCCTTAGAATTCAGTCAACAGATCCACAGAGTCTTGTCTTTGATAGACATAGGTAATTCAGATCTCGTAGATAACAAGTGTGGGCAGATGGATACATGGGAGAATAAAGAATGTAAGAAATGAGGGTCAAATCTCTTTGTTCACCTTTTCAGTTTGTCAGTAGGTCTGAAAACAAATATAAGCGTATGAATAGCAATGAGCGAGTCCGTATCGTCACTGGCTGGCCCTCTGGTCTGGCTCGGACCTCATCTGAAGCAAAGAAGCCATTGCCTGATAAACTGGAAGGTATGGATATGAAATAGTAATAGCTTTTACACACATGGCACTGATATAGAGGCCTACATAAAGGTCTACATAACAGCATGACTGTGAAAAATGTCATTCCTATTACTAGCATCTGTGGTCTACGCTGTGCAAAAATTCAACATTTCTGACCAAAACTGATTCTGCTAAAAGTGCTTGGAGCACTAAGCCTTCATGAGCAAGTTTAAGACACTGAAGCTTTCTGTTTAGTTAGTAGTTCTTCCTAGGTGCTTTCTTGCTCTTTGTCCAAAAACATTTAACTCTGAGTAAGTCAAGCTAATAAGCAGAAGGATTCTCCAAGCAAGTGTCCTGTTAAACTATGAAATAATCTCTTGAAATCAAAAGGCATTTGAATTATTTAGTATTAGGTTGGACATCATGCTACTGGATATACAGTAAAGTCAACCCTGTCAAAAAAGAAGGGAGGATCAGTATGACTAACCATGTCATTTCTGGTTCATGTGTTTCTCCATCTTTTTCTCCAAATACTGATGGAGAGGAAACCACAGGATAAATGTCTTGTTCTTTACTCAGATTTGGATTCTGAAAGTGAAATCAATAAGAGGCTCAGTCTGATCCCTTATAGCTTGGTGAGACCAATCCACTGTGAGCGCAGGCGCCCTGTACTTTTCTCTCCCACCATGCTTGCCAAGACCTTGGTACAGAAGCTTCTCAACTCTGGAGGTGCCCTCGAATTCAACATATGCAAGCCAGGTAATGGGATAAAAGAGGACCATGACTGTTAACCCTCAGTGTTGGAAATATGAACATATATATGCACGCACACGTAGGGGCATGCACGTGTGATAGCTGCTTGAGGTACTTCGAGTCACATCAGAATTATGTGTAGCTATAAATCCTACTTTTTGAGAATATCTCAGATATTTGAATGTTTTTGAGACAGCCAGTGCACATGGTTATGAGATTCTGTGTCTATGAATATTATCCATGTGTATGCTGTGTGGTTGCTAGGATGCCCCTGAGAGACTGAAATGCTGTGAGTGCTCTTTCTGTTTGCATACTGTTTGCATACTGCATATCTAGGCAATGTGAAATTTTGATTAATTTGTTTCTAGTATTTGCTATTATAAGGAATATCTTCCCTAGAGCAACTTCAGGTTTCTATCTCGTCCAAGGCTGTGAAGATTGTGCATTTGATGTACCCGAAAGACAGATTTTCTTCCATACTAAGTATTTACTATTAAAGCAATATGCACTACCGTGATTGCTGTAGGGCAGGATTGTATACAACACAGCATTAAACATAGCTGATGTTTCATTTTTACACTAATGTTGAATACACACTGCATAGTATGCAGTCTTACAGTTATCCAGACAGAGAAACTGAAAAGTTAAGTATTATAATAAATATCCCCTGTCTTGCAACATAAAACAAAAGCTTTGATGTAGAGCTGCAATTCACAAGGGGGCCAGTATCACACATTGCAACCTAAGCCAAATTTTTTGAAACTTTAAACACAAATGTGGCAACACTAAATCCTTGTTTTAGGAGCCTATACTGAAGAGACCTTCTTTTTTTAGCACTTCTCAGCATCCCTGAAATGTTACTGTATAACATTAGGTGCTGGAATTGTATTTACTGTTTTAATTTAATGCCTTCATAGTGTTGTAGTAATTGCCCAAGGACTCATTGGTGCAGGATATAGCTGAGATGCTCAGCTGTGATCAGATTAGGCTTTAATTGAATTCAATGGAAGAAATGAGGGAGCTGTTAAGACAATTCATTGCTCATCTTCTTTCCCTGAACCATCCTTGCATCCTGTATGAAGTACTACTGGGTAGTTTTCTAGGTGTTCTGTTGTTGTAATCTTGATTTTATCCTCATTCACATCTCTTTCCAGATGTTGTAACAAAGGAAGAATTCTTAAGGAAGCAAAGAACAGAGACTATCATCTTCAGCAGAGAAAAGAATCTGAACACATACGAGTGTATTGTACCTGCCAATATTGAGGCTGTCACTGCCAAGGTGCTCAGAGTACTCTGTATCCCTCTGATAGGCTGGCTGTGAATCTTTCTGCAATGTTTCTTCCTGAATAAGAGACTGACCAATTTATACTTTCATGTTCTCTCTCTCTTGCCCACCTTCAATCTCAGATTTGTATTTATTCCCCCAAATGGCTTTTATCTGTGTTCTTGCTTTTCCTTTTCTTTTTCACACTCAGCCATATCCTTTTATATTCTCGCTCGTTCCCTGGGATGACCCAGGTTGATGCAGCAAACATTCAGTTCCTTTTCATATCATAAGTATATATGAATGTGTGAAAGAGTAAGATATACAAGGACCTAGACAAAAGAAAGGATAACCTGAAACACAGACACGAAGGTGTACACTACAAAGATAACAATGTCAAAGACAGAGATCTTGTATCAGGTAGAGTAGATTTGGTGCACAGTACGGAAAAAAGGAGAATTAAAGTGATGTTTTGTTCTCTCACAAGCAGTTGCAGTAGCTGTTCCCTCTGAACAAAGAGCAAGTATGCGTGTTTGTGTACATATGTAAAACTGGTATTTTATCATACTCCTCATCTTTAAATTGATCCATTTCTATTTAAAACCTTTTCAGAAAGCTATTAAGCTCAGCTGCTATTTGGCTGAGTAGTTGTAAACCAGTAGGAGGAGTTTGGACTTTAAATGTATATTTGATTAAAAGGTTTTAAATCAGTGCAGTGGTAAATAGAGAGCTTTTCAGCTGGCCCCATAAGGTATTGATACCTTTATCTCTAGATTCCACAGCAGTGAATGTTCCTTTGTGACACTGTTATGACTTTGTTTTCAGAACAAGCATTGTCTCCTGGAAGCTGGAATAAGCTGCACAAAGGATTTAATCAAAGCCAAGATATATCCTATTGTCCTCTTTATCAGAGTCTCCGAGAAAAACATCAAGAGGTTCAGGTAACATATCAAACCTTTTGCATATTTGATATTCCATCTTATTCAGTGAATAATTCTTGAGTCAAATAATCTTCTCACTGAGAGAAATAAAGAACCTCTTCTCTCTTCATCTGGTGCTTCTATTTGTACTATTTCCTCCCATGACTCCTCCCTGAAATCTTACAACTGGAGAAAGTAGGAATTCCTCAAATCTAGCACTCTCTCACTGTCACAGATAGCAATGAGCATTGGGGGAGGATGAGACTGAAGAATATGTGGTTTTCTCCATGCTCAGCACTCCCACAGCATTTCTTAAAGTAATGTTAGCTGGAAGAGGAAAGGTCGTAAACACTTGCACTCTCCCTACATTCAATCCTCTTAAATTGTTTCCCCATAGCCAATATTTTTCCTTGGGGGAAGCATGGAGATAAGGGGAGGATAGACCTGGAGTAGCTGTATTCTCCACTGCTTTTATTGCTTGTATATAGTCAGTAGAAAATAAATTCTTGATGGGACAGCTGGGACTATAGGATTAACTTAAAGTGTAAGACATTTATTTTTGGTCTGGTCATTTGATACAGGAAACTATTGCCAAAGCCAGAGACCGAAGATGAGTTTTTACGTATGTGCCGTCTGAAGGAGAAAGAACTGGAAGCACTGCCATGTCTTTATGCCTCTGTAGAGGCAGATGCATGGAGCAATATTGAAGATCTTATCCGAACAATAAAAGACAGGATTGGAGAAGAGCAGCGTAAAACCATCTGGATAGATGAAGATCAACTATAAAAAACATAAGTAAAATGGAGCTCTTCAGTGACAAAAGGACATATCCAGGTGGAGCAGGGGCTTGCAGAATTCTCTGATTAGGTGCCCAGTGCTCCCTCCTGTTTCACCCTTGCTGGCTGGGGACTTCCTGCTGGCAGAATGCATGTATGGAATGGAACTGGAGCTGTGTTGAATAGCCAATGTCTCAGATGCTGGGGGTCTAGGATATGGGTCAGACCACAGCCACCACCACAACTTCTGACCCACCAGCATCTCTTAAGGAACAGCAGCTGTTTAACATGTGAGAAGGACAAAGATCTTGAGAGGGAGCTTGGGGGTAATTTATTATGTTAAAAATATGGATCTCATTTGGCTCATTGAAAATTTCTGATGAGACCAGAAAAGTGGAATCTAAGATGAATAAAGCATAGAGATTGGGCTAAAGGATATGGAATTGAGGTGTGCCCCACACATGCCCTGAGGTGAGATTCTGAGCACACCCAGTTAAGGAAGCTGAAGGCTGGTTGGTAGAAACAGCAACATTACCAGTGATGGCTGTATCAGCTCTGTTGCCCTGTTTCTCCATAACCATTTTAATCAGAAGAGAAGGAAATAGCTATTATTCCTGGCATTAATTAAAATGACAATTTTCCCTTCCTTTTTAAACCCCAGTTTTATTTAACAGTTTTGCAGGTTTCCTTTGTAGTCCTGGCACTTACAGGAAAATAGACTCCACTGTCCCAGTGGCAGATCAGATCTTTCCAGATCTGCCTGTGTTTCATTTAGTTTATCCCTGCCTCTGATTGTATTCATTTGTACATCTCTCAATTTTTAACATTTTTTACTTGTGGAAAACACCATGGTGCCCTCTCCAGACAACAGGTTTCTCTGTTTCTCCACTGAAATCTGTATTTCTCTACAACATCATTGCCTGCCAACATGCCTGCTCTCAACAGGAGGGACTATTCTGAGAAGAAGAAAAGGAGAATTTCATAAGCCAGTAATCACTGCAAGCCACTCTAGTCCTTGACCTCTCTGCTGTGACTGACAGTGAGGAGACCAGCAAGCATCACACTGTGCTGTGGCCAAGCAGGATAATATTTTCAAAAGTGTGTGCAGGACTTGGAAGACCACATCCCATTTTCAAAAGCACTTGACTCCTCAGAGAGCTTCAGTTCCACTGCTAATGGGTGGGACTTAGACTCCTAAATCTCTTCAGTCTTTTAAAATTTTTCCTCTGTGCATTAGACACAGTATTGAGACTGCCAAATTGATTCAATAAAACTGACCAGATAATAATGACTTGCACAATTGCTGATCTGAAATGCAATAAAAATTGACCTACAGATGAAGAGCTGTACATCCCATTATCCTTAGATCCTTCATCCCTTGCCATATTCCCCCCTTTTAAGATGCATTTAATAACATATTTACCTTTGCTTCTGTGTTCATCCCACATCCCCCATCTTGGTGCTTCAGGCTGATGTGCATCAGATGGCAAAGAAAAGACAAAACAGAATCCAAGCAAAACATGTGGCCTGGTTGCCCTCACTTGATTAACTGCTACACTGTCTTTGCAATGAGCTTCTGATGTAGAGGGTGTCTCACAGATAGATTGGGTCAGTTCATGTTGGCTTGTGTGATTATGCTTCTCTTCTCTTTTACACACATAATTTTTTAACTAATGGTGTCTTCTAGAAGTCATTTGTGTCACTTTAACATCTAGTTTCTGCTGTTGTGTTTCTCAAGTTATTAAGGTTTAAAAGACTGTTCATAGCTAGCATTTCTCAGAGACTAGCTCTTTACTTGCCCAATGCCATCTGTTTGGGCTGTGCAAGCTGGGGGATACTACTGTTTTGGAATCTCTTTACAAAGTACAGGCTGCATACACAATTTGCAACTCCCTTCAGGGCAAAGAATAACAACCAGTTGGGGTATATATAGAACAAATGGGATGATTCTTCAGAGATCCTCTGTAGCTCAAGCAGAAATAAGAAAGTGTCAGTTAGAAAAGCTAACCCTTCCAGGAGCATTTTGCATTCATTCCTAATGCCCTGATAACACAACCTTGTGTAACAGCTGCCTGTGGTTTGTTACTGCCCCTCCTGTGATAGTTTTTGAGTCCACAGCTGAGCAATGGGAGGGAACATTTCTCAGCTGCTTCAGCAAAAAATTCAGCCAGGTCAGTGTCAGATCCCTCCAGGAGCAACCAGCTGACGGCTCACCCGACAGAACTTGTAGGATGTCCATGTCCTACTGGCTGTGCCACAGGGATCGGTAACATCTGGTGGAATGGCTAGAACAGATGGCTAGTGGGGTGGAGGGGGTGAAGTACCTCAGAGTGCCATGGCTGTTTCTGCAGTGATCTTCTCTCACCACAGTTTTATTTCTGAGCTCTCTTTACGCGGGCAACAGCTGTCGATGAGATTTATCTTACTTAAATTTAAACAGAGGAAAGGTATATGCCAAAGTCTAAAGGAGGTTCCTTTTACAATGAATGGAGATACACCTCCAAAGAGCTATTTGTCTAACTTACTGTAGATGGCTATCTAAGGATGAGATGAATTGCCCTCTGAACTGTCTGGGTTTTTTTCATGGACTATAGAAAGAAACTAGAGAATTAGCCTGGCCTTTAGCGTTTAGCTTTTTGAACTGTAATTGAGGACAGCTAAACCACCTTATGGGAAAGGTAGAACAAGAGGTTGAAGCAGAGAACAACAAGAGATCTAATTATTTCTGTGAAACAAGAGAGGAAAGAATACATGGAACAGACTACTTGGTTTCTGAGTACGTATTCTGTAAATTCCCAGCTCTGCAGATACTATAAGGCATTGTGGTTGTCTACTCATGTGATGCAAAGCAACCAGACTCTGTTAAGTGAAGTTCACTGACAGAGCTGTGTGCTGTAGCCTGCATAACCCTCATCTCTCACTCAGTGGAGAAGGACTGAAAACTCTATTCCTCTTTGACTTCTGGATGTGAACTCAGAGAGCAAATCTATAGCTGGAGCACATTCCCGGAACTGCAACAGAGCAAAAGGGGCCAATGTCATTTACACTAGTTGAGGAGGTGCTTCTGATCTAGATCTAAATGCTCTTGATCTAAACGGGAAGAAATTAACCTCTGCATCTTTGAAAATACATTCAAATCTACGGGCTTGAAAATAGGCCATGAATTTCCCTAAATGTCTGAGTGTTGGAATCAATGTGGATTCCAAGTCCTGAACTGGCAGATTTGAAGTGCAAACTTGGAAATTGGGCTGTAGATCATTGCAGTATTTTTCATTCTAAGTCTCACTTGTGAGGTATTGCTTTAAGCTACCAACCACTTCCTCACGTATGCAAGTTCCGTATACAAACCTGAGCTCCTCGGCACATATACAAATGCCCACCTAGGCATACCCAGCTTCAGTAGTGATTGTATGGCTGAAAAACTGGAAGCAATGAATAGGAAAACAAAATGGAAATTGGAAATGCTGTAAATGTTCACTGTAAAAAGTATTGCAACTGAATCAAAGCAGACTCTCAGCCTCATCTCATCAAAGTGTAAAGATGTGACAAGTTTTATGTTGGAGTATTGTTTGGGTGGTTTTGTATTGTTAGACAGCACTTGGTATAAGATCAATAACCGGACTTGCAGGTAGCACTGAAATTCAGACAAATTCTCTAACTCAGTCTAATAAAGAGAAGAAGTCGAGCTGCAGACCCGAGTTTGAACTGAACGCCGTGCTTGGACACCAGAGTTCAGACCAAGCTGCCTGACAGAGACATGTCTGGATAGCAGTTGTATATGTCTATCTAAGGTAAGCAACATTTACATCAATTCATTTTGAAGTCAAATCACTCGAAGTTTTTAATTGAAGCCTGGGAACATTTCTCAGAAATTTGTATTTTAAGTTTAAAAAGGACTTAACAGAAAGTCCCAGAAATTGCACTATGTTTGATATGCTACTTTTTCTGTAAAAGGGTGTAAAGCATAGAATAGTAACTGCCTTTCAAAATCTATTATTGGAAAACTACTTATTTGTTCCTTTAAGAACTCACAAGGTCTTGTTGAAAAATTTTCAGATGTAGATTTTTCTTTGGAAAATGTCATTGAAAAATTGGCCACTAGAAAATGCAATTGGAAAATTTTTCAATGGAATATTGTTCTGTTAGAAAATGTGTTTTCATCCAAATCAATTGTCTATGAAAATGTTTCCATTCTAACGTTTCATTTTTTAAGAATTTAAAGTATTTCAACAATACTGAAGCAGTTCTTTTCAAGCTTTCACATACTTCGAATCTTTTACCTAAAAACATTTTTAGTTTTTAATTTTTTTATTGTTGAAGTATTTTTTAAAATCTACATTTAAACATTTGGTGTGATTGAAACACTTGGTGAAGAAAATTTTGTATTTGTTGTTTATATACTACAATGTAATGTAAGTAAAGACTTATAGCTATCAGATGTGGTATAATGGCTATGATCATGAGAAAAATTCAAACTGAATTTGGCTTTGCATTTTGTTTAGCTCTGCTGCTAAATGATGTATTATATAAGTCAGTATCATGCAGTTCAGCACATTGGGGAATTGTTGCAGGTAAAAATTTCATGCAAACTTTATTACATGGAATTTGATATTCCTTTGAATCAGGATTCTGGCTGGAGGCAAAGCTGTCAATCGGTCTGTCTGCTGCACAGACAGCTCTGGCAGCACAATTTGCAAGGGAGTAGGAACACACACAAAGCAGACTTTTGCCTATGAACTTTAAGTGGAGATAGTTGCCAAAGCTGGAAAAGTGCCTGTAAACCTGTTAGAGGTTTCTGTATTCTTTTATGCCAAGCTATTTTCATGGCCTAGGGTTCGAAAACTGTATAGCAAGGATGAAGTCAGAGACACACTATTCAGGTAGACTGACTTCAGCTCTGAAGGGTTCAGATTGTGTGAACCCTGGAGCAGTCACACAGGTTACAACACTCTGCGTGGGCACAAGGCTGAGATGTTTATGCAGCAGTTATTATGCTGTCCCCTGGAGACTGGAAAAGCAAGACGCAGTTAGGGGCTCGGGACTTCTGGGAGATCAACATTCTATGATTTTGCAATTATTTGAATTGAGTACTCCAAGTCATTCAGCATTAATCAGCTTATCCTGTGAAGCCTATCAAATGTGTCCCCCTTTGGTGCAGTAACTATCTCCCATGCTATCTTTCAGTTCTGAGAACTGAATAGTATAGCACTATTTTGTGCTATGTGCCATTAAAAGGTACACTCAATTTCAACCAAGACTTTATGAATCCTTTCTTATAAGTTACTTTGTTTTCCCCATTTCTCCTGCTTGCTCTGTTTTCAGAGTTCTTGTTTCGTCTCCACTCCCTGTAATGCACGGGCTGGTTCAGGGTTTGTAGCCCTGAGATCCACTACTCTATGCAATGGTTTAGTGCACCAAAAGATTAAAGTGTGTAAACTGAAATTGCAATTCCAGAAAGACCTTGTGCTTTACCAGACTTGTCTGTAGAAGAAAAAGAAGGCTCTCCCATGGATCAATGCAATGTGCCTTTGGAGTTCAAATCCCGGTGTGATTTTGGCTCAAGCACAGTGAATAGGGTTCTTTAGTGCTGGCAGCTTGGATGGCAGTAGAGCCATTGCCTGGGACATCCCTCCTGGCATAGCAGGAGTTACAGTGACACTGCTGTGCAGGAGTCCTGCCCACACAGTACCTGGAGGAACTGGAGTAACCACTCTGTCTGACACTTTCTTGAACAGAAAACCTAAGTCAGCCAACACAGTGCTGAAAGACTATGACACAAAATTTCCTCCTGTATCATTCAGGTACCGCAGAATTCTGTTGCGCTTCCAGAAATCACACTTGATATTTCTGCGAAACTATCTCTAGCCCTTCAGGGATGATCCTGGACCCAAACACTGAGGAATCTGTGCCATTCTCACAAACTTTCCCCCAACTTTCTAGTGTAATTTTTGATCTCTGTCTCTGAGCCTGCAAAAGCAAACAGAAGGCTGCCCATCCCTGCAGTTTTAATCTGTAGAACTAATGCTTCCTTATGAAGGTGTTGTGAACGTCTTTGTACAGATAGAGCAAGTGGACAGAGAGCTGACGTGGCTTGTCCACACAGGTCAGCGACGCGGTCTGGCTCCCCAACCCCTGCGCAGTGCTGGCTCCCCTCGGTCTATGCTGCACTAGTCTCAAGGCTCTGAATGAGAGTATAATGCAAGTCTGGCAGCTGTATCAAGGATTTGAGTGGTGGCTGCCTTAAGCGGTGAGATTTCTAGTTTGATTTGAGAACCCTACCAGTAAGCCAAGTTAGAACAACAGGAAGCTCATCCACCCGCCCTCCCCCGCCTCCTTTTTTC